GGAACGACGCGGAGCCGTGCAAGACGCGGCAGTGGATGCCCACGCGGAGAGAAGTACGAGCGTTCACTGGTTCCGCTGCGGTGAAAGGACATGCCACTGTGTGTCATGACTGTCCATGCTTAGATCAGGAGCAGTACATTGTCAGTTTATGTACAGTAGAGTTGGTAGGATGGGTGGAGTGGGTCTCTGCTATGTAATAAGCTGAACTTTGCATTGGTTGCAAGCAGCACACCGAGCATTCGTTGCTGAAAAAGAGAAAACAGAAAAGAAGGGCATTTGTTGCCTGGAACCACAACTCATGCGTGCCTCCTCTGTTTTTCCTCCTTGCTCTGCTTCTCCTTTAGTTTCAACAAACACTTCGTGTGCGTGTGTGTAACCATAGAGAGAAGAGAGATCAAGGGGCCTGTGAGCAACACGGCCAAGTCGCAGCTCAGCTTATTTCTGCTAACTGAAGAAAAACATGCTACTGACCAAACTGACGGAAAGAAAGCAAACACCTAAAACTGACGAAACTGAAACTTGCTTCAGCAGCTGCTAACTGACAAGGTCATCACCGTGACCCCTTCTGGAATCCCAAGAGCTGGTGTCGATGTGGACTGCAGCATCATTGGCATGTTGTCCAGTGGCATAGAGACTAGCGCCGGCTAGACAAGGGAAGTGGTAGGGAAGATAGATTCATGCCGCTAGATATGATGAACGAAGGAGGTATTAGGCATGAGTGGATACATTTATTTGTTTTTCTCCAATATTTTAGATAGAGTGAAGCTAGATAAAGAGGGAAGCAAATGTGAAAACATATCACATTCACCTTGACGTCCTAAGGCAGTGAAGCTTATATAGGACTTCTATACATCTCTTCTCTTTGTTAGCTCTTTGTAAGAAAAAATAAATAGTTTGTGAGCATGCGATATGTGTTCAGTCAGTCACTCAGGAACTGTTTGTCATGTATTTTTAATCGCATGTAATTGGATCGTGTGATCAACCAATGTATGCATGTTTACTTTATGATCCCTTGCCGAAAACTAAGTAATTACCGAAAAAGGGTTTCCCCCGCTTTGTATTCCAAAGCAAACCACCAAAGTACACATTGCAATGCTGGGGCGAGCAGCACAACAAGCCCAAAAAAAAAGAAAAAATGCCAACAACGGCAGCTCGACAAAGCGCGGATGACCCATGACCGTTGCGCCCTCCGGAAACAAATCACCACAGCCCGAGGCTCCGAACTACCGCGAACTAAGCAGCACCTTCAAGAAGGGATGCGACGCCGATGACGCTGCAGCCCGGACAAGTCCTAGGGTTTCCCCCAGTACGCAGAGGGAGGTGGGGGATAGCTACTCCCGACGGCCTCCAGGAAGGGATAGTGGCACCCGCCGGTGTCACCGCATTGGAGCCGGACGAACCGGCAAGGATTTCTCCCGCACGTCAAACCCCACCAACCAATCGGAGCCGACCAGCCAAACCACCGTCCAACTATGCGCCACGACGGCTGCGCCGCCACCAACACCGTCTCGCTGCGAACACCACCACGAGGCCAAGAAGAGCGGAGAGAAGATCTGAGCGACGGGAGCAGCAGCATCAAGGCCGAGCGGGAGGGAACCACCTCCATCGCCGTCGTGCGGGAGGCCCGCGCCTCCGGCACCGTCGCGGTAGCCGTCCGGACACGGCAGCGGGGCATACCAGGCCACCCCCGGCCCGGCCAGGCCCAAAACGGGCCCGCTAAGCCCCATTGGCCACGCTGCAGCAAGCTGGCGTTGACGCCGCCAGCCCCCGCTGATCATCGCTGCTCGCCACCGCCTCCTGGAGGCCACACCGACGCCACGCCTGTCGCCGGCCCGCCCCGACCCAGATGGAGCCCGAAGGGCCCAGATCTGGGCCGGGCGGGCGCCGCCAGCCCGTGCCGCCACGCAGCCCCGCCGCCAACGGCGCCGTCCTCGCCCAGAGCTCGCCCCCGCCGCCGCGCAGGACCGCCGCCGCCTGAGGACACCGCCTGGAGCCGCTCTGTCCCGCGCCGGAGAAACCCTAGATGGGGAAGGGCTGGGGGCCGCCGCCACCAACGCCGCCCGAGCCAGGCCCGAGGCGGGTGCCGACGACGGCGGCGGGGAGGAGGAGGAGGGAGGGGGACGCGCGCGGGGACGGAGGGAAGGCGCGGCCGGCCACCCGCGGGGGCGGCGCGGTCGCGGACCAGAGAGAGGGGGAGAGAGTCACTGGATGCCTTTCCTCCCGTAATTGCTTTTTTCGAAAACTAAGTAATTAAAGGGAAATATTGTGTTTGGGAGTGAACTCACATTAAAGTAACGATGAGAAGTTGTGAATGTGCAAGTAGTTGAACGTCCATTGCATTTTGAAACAGTACTCTTGAATGATCTAAAGAAACCACTGTTTCATGTAGTATTATATGAGTTAGTTCAGGTCATGCCAACCATCAGTTAACTAGGAAGTTAGAGCAGGGAGTAGTCCCCACCTACGCATCATGGGAAATGTGTGAAATGGGTTGGAACGGACTCATTTTAGCTACTTTCAAGGCACTGCTAATTTTAGTTGTGAAGAGAGGTAGCATGACAATTGACATCGCAGTGCCGATTATAGTTGTCGGTCTACTGCTAAATGCCTTAGTTCTCCCCTTTCTTTTACACCCCTGTAAGCAGGCCAGGTATTGATCAAGTAAGTAAGGAGTTTGCCATTTCTTTCATCATACAAGGACACTGCAAAATCTTTTTACATTTTACTCTGCTTGCATACAAGTGAACAAAGGCTTCAATTTTGAAGACTAAATATAGAACAATGTATTCATTTAAGAAAAAGGGTTTCCCCCGCTTTGTATTACAAAGCAACCAACTTTGATACAACCAACGATAGGTGCTAGGGCGGAAGCATCACATTCACGCCCAAAAGAAACGAAAGAGAAAACAAAAAAGAAACAAATGCAAACAACAGCGACGGAAAACAATGAAGACCCACAATTGTTGCGCCCACTGGAGAATTCCACCACCCTCCAAGCACACCAGACCGCCGCATACCAAGCAACACCTTCAAGAAGGATCGCGACGCCGACGACGCTGCTGCCCGGACAAGTCCTAGGGTTTCCCCCGGTACGCATAGGATTGCGGGGGAAGGGGCAAACCCGACGCCCTTCAGGAAGGTACGGCGGCGCCCACAGACGTCACCGCGTTTGTGTCGGACAAGCCGACAAGGATTTCTCCCGACCATCAACCACCCACGACTCCAGACGATCCATCGTGCGCCACCAAACATGCCGCCCACCAACATGCGCCACCACGGCCGTGCAAACGAAGCGAGACCGGCGGGAACAGAGAAGGCAACTTGGAACGAGGGGCGATAGCAACTGCAGCCACGCGGGAGGGGACAACCTCCACCGCCCGTGGCGGGAACCGGCCGGACGTAGCAACAGGGGCAAACCAGGCAACCGCGACCAAATCGACTGGGGGAAAGGGGAGGCGGAGAAGTGGCCCATGGCCACGACCGGCGTTGTGCCGGCTCCAGCTCCCCCGCAAAACCATGTTTCGCCCCCGCGCCGAAGGCCCAGATAGGCCCGGCCGAGCCCGAGACGGGCTAGTGAAGCCCCCGTCGCCGTGCTGCCGTACACTAGCCGCCGCCGCCGCCGCCACCCGCACGAGTCGCCCTGCCGTCCGCCGGAGACGCCACAGAGGAGCTCCGGCCAGGCCCGCCCAGACCCAGATGGGCCCCAAAAGGGCCCAGATTTGGGCCGGGAGGGCACCGCCGCCAGCCACCACGACGCCCCGCTGCCAAGCAGCGACGCCACCTCGCCACCCGACACCGTGCCACCCAAGATGCCACGCCGCCGCCGGATCCACTGCCGCCGAAGTACGCCGTCGCTAGCTGCCCGAGCCGTGGCGTTGCGCGGGGGGAAAGGACGGGGCCGCCGCCGGCGGCACCACATGAGCAAGGACCGGTGGTCCAGGGCAGCGGCGGCG